TTTAGTTTTTCTAATTGTTTAATTACATCCTCCCTGGTAACTGCTAAACTAGTCAACCTGTCCTCATCCCCACCCACATAGACTTGTTCGGCTGAAGGCATATTGTTAAGTTCTTCTTTAGTAAATACAGATATAATACAGATATGTTAGGGACAATTTGAAATGTAGTCTCAAAGAGGGAATCAAAACAGAGCCACACACAGAAACTATTTGGATTGAATTAAACGAAAAAGCTAATAATATTATAATAGGAGTAATATATAGGCCACCAAATTTAGACAGAATGGAAGCAAAGCATCTATGGGATGAAATATCTAGAGCATCTAGATCTAACAGTATTTATGTCATGGGTGACTTTAATTTTAGCGGAATAAACTGGTTGAACAAAACAGGGAATAGTGAAGCAGAAGATTTTCTAGAATTAATTGACGATTGCTTTCTTACGCAACACATTAAGGAACCAACACGGGAAAATAATATTTTAGATTTAGTGTTAACTAACAGGGAAACGCAAATTAATGACATCGAAATAGGGAGTGAGCTAGGGAGCAGTGATCACAAAGATATCAGATTTAGCATAGAATGGAATAGACCAGTAGGAGAAAATTCTGTTAAAGTGCCAGATTTTCGAAAAGCTGATTTTAATAGCCTAAGAAATTTTTGGGTCAAATTGATTGGAAAGGCTTGGGTATGGGGTGTGGGCCGGTCTTGGAGCGAGACATGAACCCAGCGATAGGTGACTTAAATGGGGATTTCGATGTGGATTCAATATATAACTTATTTAAGAATATTCTAAACAAAGCACAGGAACGTAGTATACCATACAAATTGAATAGATCGTATACTAATGACCCAAAGTGGATAACAAAGAATTTGAAGAACCTTATAGGTAAAAAGAGAGCTTGGTACAAAAGGATTAAAAATGGGGAGGTCACTTTAGAACAGGAATTCGTACAACTGGTTAGAAATGTTAAAAAAGAGATAAGGAAAGCAAAAAGAAACTATGAAGTTCGCATAGCAGGGCAAGCAAAGACAAATCCTAAAGGGTTTTTTCAGTTATATCGTACTAAGACTAGGGAAAGGATAGGTCCATTAAAAACTGAGACAGGTCAAATAACAGATAGTGATGAAGAGATGAGTAGTATTTTTAATAAATATTTTGTATCTGTATTTACTAAAGAGGAACTTAACAATATGCCTTCAGCCGAACAAGTCTATGTGGGTGGGGACGAGGACAGGTTGACGAGTTTAGCAGTTACCAGGGAGGATGTTCTTAAACAAATAGTAAAACTCAAACCAAACAAATCCCCAGGGCCGGATGAAGTGTTTGCTAGGGTGCTTAAAGAATGCAAAGAGGAGCTTTGTGACCCACTGTCAACCATATTTAATAAATCAATAGAGTCAGGCAGAGTGCCAGAGTTTTGGAAAGTTGCTAATGTGATACCAGTTTTTAAGAAAGGAGATAGATCACTTGCGTCTAACTATCGACCAATTAGCCTAACGTCTATTGTGGGAAAGTTACTCGAATCTATAATAGCAAATAAAATTCGTCTTCATCTTGAAAAACATAAATTAATAATTGAGTCGCAACATGGTTTTATAAATGGCCGTTCATGTTTAACAAATTTGTTATCTTTTTATTCAAGCATTGTTGAGGCAGTTGATAGTGGTAAGGATTGCGATGTTGTATACCTTGACTTTAGCAAAGCTTTTGATACAGTGCCACATGAAAGACTGATTAAAAAAATAGAGTCTCATGGTATTGGGGGTGCTATATTAAGCTGGATTAGGGCATGGCTATACCAAAGGAAACAGAGAGTTAGTATAAATGGAATCAAGTCAGAGTGGGAAAATGTTGTAAGTGGAGTGCCTCAAGGCTCTGTCCTGGGACCTCTGTTGTTTATAATATATATAAATGATTTAGATTCAGGTTTGAGTAGCAACATTTGCAAATTTGCCGATGATACGAAAATCGGTAGGGAAATTAATTCGGAGGAGGACTCACTATCACTTCAAGTTGATCTAGATTGGGTTTTGAAATGGTCAAAGGATTGGCAGATGCAGTTTAATGCTGATAAATGTAAAGTTCTGAGGTTAGGTAATGATGATAGAGTTACAAGATACGAGCTAGATGGTGTTGTGATTGCGAAGTCGGATTGCGAAAGGGATCTGGGAGTTATGATTAGTAAGAATTTAAAACAAAAGGATCAATGCATAAATGTTCGTAATAAGCCAAATCGGACACTTGGATTTATTAATCGCAGCGTTAGTAACAAGACACCTGGTGTGGTTCTCAAGCTATATCTTGCTCTAGTTAGGCCCCATTTAGATTATGCAGTTCAGTTTTGGTCGCCATATTATAGAATGGATATAAATTCACTTGAACGTGTCCAGCGTAGGATGACTAAGTTAATTCCCCAAATTAGAAATCTTTCATATGAAGAAAGATTAACAAAGCTTAAGTTGCATTCACTGGAAAGGCGAAGAGTTAGGGGTGACATGATAGAGGTTTACAAGTGGATGAATGGACATAACCGGGGGGATATTAATAGGGTATTAAAAGTATCAACACAGGACAGAACACGAAACAATGGATATAAATTGGATAAGTTTAGATTTAGGAAAGACTTGGGTAAATACTGGTTCAGTAACAGGGTTGTTGATTTGTGGAACCAATTGCCGCGTAACATTGTGGAGGTGGGGTCCCTCGATTGTTTCAAGCACGGGTTGGACAAGTATATGAGTGGGATTGGGTGGTTATAGAATAGGAGCTGCCTCGTATGGGCCAATAGGCCTTCTGCAGTTACCTTTGTTCTTATGTTCTTATAAAATATTTGTTAAAAATACTACTCATCTCCTTGTCATTATCCGTTATTTGACCTGTCTCAGATTTTAATGGACCTATCCTTTCCCTAGTCTTAGTTCGATATAACTGAAAAAAAACTTTAGGATTTGACTTTGCTTGCTCTGCTATGCGAACTTCATAGTTTCTTTTTGCTTTCCTAATCTCTTTTTTAACATTTCTAACCAGTTGTATGAATTCCTGTTCTAAACTGACTTCCCCATTCTTAATCCTTTTGTACCAAGCTCTCTTTTTACCTATCTCTTAAATTTCTTGTGTGTAGTTTGGTCAACATCTCTTGATTGTTTCAAGCGTAGGATAGACATATATATATATATATATGAATGAGTTTGAGTGGATATAAAACGGAGCTGCCACCTATGGGCCAATATGACTTCTGCAGTTTCCTTCATTCTTAAGAACATAAGAACAAAGGTAACTGCAGAAGGCCTATTGGCTCATACGAGGGCCAATCCTTTTGTACCAAGCTCTCTTTTTACCTATCTCTTCAATTTCTTGTGTGTAGTTTAGTCAACATCTCTTGACTGTTTCAAGCGTAGGATAGACATATATATATATGAATGAATTTGAGTGGATATAAAAAGGAGCTGCCACCTATGGGCCAATATGACTTCTGCAGTTTCCTTCATTCTTAAGAACATAAGAACAAAGGTAACTGCAGAAGGCCTATTGGCCCATACGAGGCAGCACCTATCTATAACCACCCAATCCCACTCATATACTTGTCCAACCCGCGCTTGAAACAATCGAGGGACCTTACCTCCACCATGTTACGCGGTAATTGGCTCCACAAATCAACAACTCTGTTACCGAACCAGTATTTACCCAAGTCTTTCCTGAATCTAAACTTATCCAATTTATACCCATTGTTTCGTGTTCTGTCTTGTGTTGATATTTTTAGTACCCTATTAATATCCCCCCTGTTATGTCCATTCATCCCCTTGTAAACCTCTATCATGTCACCCCTAACTCTTCGCCTTTCCAGTGAATGCAACTTAAGCTTTGTTAATCTTTCTTCATATGAAAGATTTCTAATTTGGGGAATTAACTTAGTCATCCTACGTTGGACACGTTCAAGTGAATTTATATCCATTTTTATGTTATTATTAGTTAACTAGTGAGTTAACTACTAATAACTTTTATAACAATAATTAACTATCACAGCCTGTATAACTCACTATATATAGTGAGTTAACTATAATTATAGTTAACTATAATTATAGTTAACTATAATTATAGTTAACTGTAATTAGTTATAGTTAACTATAATTAGTTATAGTTAACTATAATTATTTATTGTTAACTGTAATTAGTTATAGTTAACTATAATTAGTTATAGTTAACTATAATTAGTTATTGTTAACTATAATTAGTTATAGTTAACTATAATTAGTTATAGTTAACTATAATTAGTTATAGTTAACTATAATTAGTTATAGATAACTATAATTAGTTATAGTTAATTAATAACTAGTTAGCAACCATCCAGATGTTGTTTCAGATTTAGCTACTCAGAACGAAGTGTCCATGTAGCACAGGCTATGGTGAGCCCGTGAGCCATCAAGAGTCAAGCATCCCTCATATTCCGACTCCTCTTTTCCACCTCACCCACCTGAAATATAAGCTGAATTTCTGGACCTTTCATTGTTTCATGTGAGTGTAGGACTTGGTTGAACATCGGTTTCCTGGGAAAAGTTCAGGCAATATTTGCTAGAGAAAACGTTGGAGAATGGACTTCAATTCACGTTGGAGAATGGACTTCAATTCTTTCTTCGGAGCCGCGTCGACAATCGACCCTTCCAGAATCTGTTTAGATGGAGTATTAGAAACGATTAGGAATATACATTACATGACGGACGCTGTCATAATTAAGTTATACTCCAAAAAGACTCGCCTTGGTCTCTTTTGGGCACAAACTTTTGCCTCGTTTATGGGGACGAAGTCTATTATTATAACTGGTCAGTGGGAGGACATCCTCTGGGAAATTCTTGCACTTGTTAGACACTGGAGGCCAGAGTTCATATTGGAAAAGAACTTACATTCTCATGTCTTGAAATCATGGATTCTCAAGTTGTTTGCCGATCCCAAGCTGTGTCCAAACCCTTACCTTCGCCTGGAAATGTTAAGGTTTATCGGCATGTGGCCAAAGTCTTATCTTGAGGACAGCACTTCTGGCCGTCAGGCAGCTGCAGGTTTGGTGGCCATGAGCGCTTATCTGAAGCTGGATCATCTCATGCCCAGAGACTCACTGGAGACAGATCTCTTCTACCACCTCATCGAGGTACTGTACTGCCTGCTTATGTTCGGTCACCTGAATGAAGTTACTGCTGCAGCCGTAGACCAAATGACAAGTCTGAATGTCGGATCTGAAGCGTTGTTTTTCAACCACATGGTGCAGCTGCTCATGCAGATGGCAGAAGCGATACCAGAAAGTTATAATGCAAATTCTATAGACATTAATCAAGTTGCAATGTCGTTCGATAACATCATACGGTTATTTGAGCTGTTGGTAACAATTGACCCAACCATAGACGCATACGCTGCTCCTGGCCTGGCTCAGACCGCGGCAGCTTCTCTCTTTACTATAACATCTTCTTTAGCTGCAATGAGCTCCACATTTGCAGGCGAGGATGCCAGCCTCCACTTAACGTCCATTGGTGGCCTCCTCGTAAGACTCTTCCACAATCTGGACGACCTTTACAAAGTAGTGTCATCATCGATTGATTCACGAACTGTCACTCGAGTTCTGCGCATAAGATACGCTCAGCTGCTCTCGTCTGTCAACGAGCAGTTGACCGAGTATGATTGTCATTTTAAACACTTCCCAACACCGGAGGCGTCGACGGAAGAATGCCCGGAGCAGTTCGTGGACAGCCTGACGCAGGAGGTGATGGAGGCGCCAGTGTTGCTACAGTCGTCCAAGATGGTGGTGGACGAGTCGACACTACTCCACCTGCTGCTGGAGTCCCCCTCAGACCCCTTCACTCGGGTACCTCTGCACCCCGGCTCCTTCAGTCGCCTGCCCGACCTCCAGGCTGACATTGCTGCCTGGAGGAACACCTCCAGAGGTCACAATGACGTTACCGACTTCAACAGTGACGTCAGTGTGATCAGTGAGACCATTGGTGAGAGTGTCAACAATACCGGGAGTGACGTCGTCGGTGACAGTGAGAACGACGTCGGTGGAAACAGTGAAAACGACGTCGGTGGAAACAGTGAGATCAACGACGGTGACAGTGATATCAACGACGGTGACACTGATATCAACGTCGGTGACAGTGATATCAACGTCGGTGACAGTGATATCAACGTCGGTGACAGTGATATCAACGTCGGTGACAGTGATATCAACGACGGTGGAAGCAGTGATATCAACGACGGTGACAGTGAGATTAACGACGGTGACAGTGATATCAACGACGGTGACACTGATATCAACGTCGGTGACACTGATATCAACGTCGGTGACAGTGATATCAACGACGGTGACAGTGATATCAACGACGGTGACAGTGATATCAACGACGGTGGAAACAGTGAGATCAACGACGGTGGAAACAGTGAGATTAACGACGGTGAAGACAGTGAGAACGATGACGGTGAAGACAGTGAGAACGATGACGGTGAAGACATTGAGAACGATGACGGTGAAGACATTGAGAACGATGACGGTGAAAACAGTGAGATTAACGACGGTGGAAACAGTGAGATTAACGACGGTGGAAACAGTGAGAACGACGACGGTGGAAACAGTGAGATTAACGACGGTGGAAACAGTGAGATTAACGACGGTGGAAACAGTGAGATTAACGACGGTGGAAACAGTGAGATTAACGACGGTGGAAACAGTGAGATTAACGACGGTGGAAACAGTGAGATTAACGACGGTGGAAACAGTGAGATTAACGACGGTGACCGTGAGGTTTACGACGGTGACAGTGAGATTAACGACGGTGAAGACAGTGAGATTAACGACGGTGAAGACAGTGAGATTAACGACGGTGACAGTGATATTAACGACGGTGGAAACAGTGAGATTAACGACGGTGAAGACCGTGAGGTTAACGACGGTGAAGACAGTGAGATTAACGACGGTGAAGACAGTGATATCAACGACGGTGAAGACAGTGATATCAACGACGGTGAAGACAGTGAGAACGACGCCGGTGGAGACAGTGAGAACGACGCCGGTGGAGACAGTGAGAACGACGCCGGTGGAGACAGTGAGAACGACGCCGGTGGAGACAGTGATATCAACGACGGTGAAGACAGTGAGAACGACGCCGGTGGAGACAGTGAGAACGACGCCGGTGGAGACAGTGAGAACGACGCCGGTGGAGACAGTGATATCAACGACGGTGACAGTGATATCAACGACGGTGACGACAGTGCCAGTCACACAAACCATACTACCATCAGTGGTGTTAACAAGAACGAGTGCCAACTAGGCCAATTGCTTCGTAACTTTTATTGTGTTTATATGAAACTTATGTATTAAGCTCGTTTAAATAAAATTATGCTACTGCATTTTGTATTTATTGTATGTACTATCTGAGTATATGTATAACAGTATTTCATTAATAAATCTTCACAACATAAATACATATGTATTATTACAAATCTTTAATAGCAATATTATTATAATATTTCCTTGAAAAATAGAACTACACATATCAAGGAAGCTGAAGGAGTCTATTGGCCCATACGAGGCACCTCCTATTTATATTCACACAAACCCATACCTATGTTTAATCTACGCTCGAAACAGTTCAAGCGTAGACTAACCTGTTCCATAAAAACCTTGCTACCAAACCAGTATTTACCCAGAAAATAGAGAACTATTAACTGAATATCAAATAAATGTACTTTTTTTTTATTTGGAATAAATGAATAAATGGACAAATAGACTATTTCATACGGATATATTAGATACCATGAGCCTCTATGTTTTTAATCAGTCTTTTATATGACACTGTATCAAAGTCAAGGTACACCGCATCACAAACCTTAGCACTATCAACTGTCTCAACTATGCTGGAATAAAATGATAACAAATTTGTTAAATATGAACGGTCATTTGTAAAAGGTGACTGCAGAAGGCCTATTGACCCATACGAGGTGAGATGCCAAGCTTGCTTGAACGGCGACTAATCTGAGTATCTGTTCCCCCTATCTCTGGCACAAAACGTTCTGTCTAAATACCTCACCTGGGAATCTCCCACAACCAAAATTCGCTTCGATTATCCCTTTTCCTTTCGAGCAGTTTGAGGGACCTGCGCTTCAATGCTCCTCGTTACTTTGTCTTTGCCACCTCGTTGAACAACAGGTTCAACACAGCACTCGTCCTCAAATACGTCAAATGCGTTAAAAGTCCTTAGGTGTAGGCTATTAGTTGTCGGTTTTGCCAAGGTCTTCTTAAGACCCCTGTCTCTCACAACTTGCCAAGACGAGGACTTCTTAATACTGGTCCCGTCAGTTTTCTTAATGAGGTCCCGTTAACACTGGCCTCCTCCTTCGTTTCCTCCCGAAGTCTCAGCCGTCGTACCTCCTCCCGCAGGGAATCAATCGCAGGGAATACTTTAGTTAGGCCCCATTTAGACTCTAGTTAGGCCCCATTTAGATTATGCAGTTCAGTTTTGGTCGCCATATTATAGAATGGACATAAATTAACTTGAACGTGTCCAGCGTAGGATGACTAAGTTAATTCCCCAAATTAGAAATCTTTCATATTAAGAAAGATTAACAAAGCTTAAGTTGCATTCACTGGAAAGGCGAAGAGTTAGGGGTGACATGATAGAGGTTTACAAGTGGGTGAATGGACATAACAAAGGGGATATTAATAGGGTATTAAACGTATCAACACAAGACAGAACACGAAACAATAGGTATAAATTGGATAAGTTTAGATTTAGGAAAGACATGGGTAAATACTGGTTCAGTAACAGGGTTGTTGATTTGTGGAACCAATTACCGCGTAACGTGCTAGAGGTGGAGTCCCTCGATTGTTTCAAGCGCGGGTTGGACAAGTATATGAGTGGGATTGGGTGGTTATAAATAGGAGCTGCCTCGTATGGGCCAACAGGCCTTCTGCAGTTGCCTTTGTTCTTATGTTCATATGTTCTTATGAATCCATCTCTGCTCTCAGAGCTCCAACCAGACTCACCAAAGCCTTCACTAATCCTTCCATTATTGCAATAATAATGTTAATGAATCTAAATCATTTATATATATTATAAATGTGACCCACTGTCAACCATATTTAATAAATCAATAGAGTCAGGCAGAGTGCCAGAGTTTTGGAAAGTTGCTAATGTGATACCAATTTTTAAGAAAGGAGATAGATCACTTCCGTCTAACTATCGACCAATTAGCCTAACGTCTATTGTGGGAAAGTTACTTGAATCTATAATAGCAAATAAAATTCGTCTTCATCTTGAAAAACATAAATTAATAATTGAGTTGCAACAAGGTTTTATAAATGGCCGTTCATGTTTAACAAATTTGTTTGCTAACTTTTTATTCCAGCATAGTTGAGGCAGTTAATAGTGGTAAGGATTGTGATGTTGTGTACCTTGACTTTAGCAAAGCTTTTGATACAGTGCCACATGGAAGACTAATTAAAAAAATAGAAGCTCATGGTATTGGGGGTGCTATATTAACTTGGATTAGGGCATGGCTATTCCAAAGGAAACAGAGAGTTAGTATAAATGGGGTTAAGTCAGAGTGGGATAATGTTGTTAGTGGAGTTCCTCAGGGCTCTGTCCTGGGACCTCTGTTGTTTATAATATATATAAATGATTTAGATTCATGTTTGAGTAGCAACATTTGCAAATTTGCCGATGATACAAAAATCGGTAGGGAAATTAATTCGGAGGAGGACTCACTATCACTTCAAGTTGTTCTAGATAGGGTTTTGAAATGGTCATCTATCATGTCACCCCTAACTCTTCGTCTTTCCAGTGAATGCAATTTAAGCTGTATTAATCTTTCTTCATATGAAAGACTTCTAATTTGGGGAATTAACTTTGTCATCCTACGCTGGACACGTTCAAGTGAATTTATATCCATTCTATAGTACGGCGACCAAAACTGAACTGCATAATCTAAATGGGTCCTAACCAGAGCAAGATATAGCTGAAGAACCACACCAGGTGTCTTCGATTAATAAATCCCAGTGTCCTATTCGCCTTATTACGAACATTTATGCATTGATCCTTTTGTTTTAAATTCTTACTAATCATCGATATATATAGCGATAATTATAATCATAATTCCCAGATCCCTTTCGCAATTCGACTTCGCAATCTCAACACCATCTAGCTCGTATCTTGTAACTCATCATCATTACCTAGCCTCAAAACTTTACATTTATTAGCATTAAACTGCATCTGCCAGTCTTTTGACGATTTTAAAACCCTCATTAGATCAACTTGAAGTGATAGCGAGTCTTCTTTCGTGTTGATTTCCCTACCGATTTTTGTATCAGCTGCAAATTTGCAGATGTTGCTACTCAAACCTGAACCTAAATCATTTATATATATTATAAACAACAGAGGTCCCAGGACAGAGCCCTGAGGCACTCCACTTACAACATTTTCCCACTCTGACTTAACCCCATTTATACTAACTCTCTGTTTCCTTTGGAATAGCCATGCCCTAATCCAACTTAATATAGCACCCCCAATACCATGAGCTTCTATTTTTTAAATTAGTCTTTCATGTGGCACTGTATCAAAAGCTTTACTAAAGTCAAGGTACACAACATCACAATCCTTACCACTATCAACTCCCTTAACTATGCTGGAATAAAAAGTTAGCAAATTTGTTAAACATGAAACTGGTTGTCGAGGGCACTTGGTGTCAATTGCCGGCTGGAAAGATATTGCAAATCAAATGCAATATCTTTCATAGACAACTGGGAACACTTCTATGGAAGAAATGAAATGTATGCTCGTGATGGGGTGCATCTATCGAGGGCTGGGGTTGTTGCTGTTGCGAACTCGTTGGAACCAGTGGTTAGAGGTGTTTGTTTGGGTTTAAACTGTTAGTAGATAGTGGTATGGGAATTGATTTGGAGGAAGGTAATAAATTTGGTTTGGAGGTAATAAAAGTATGTGTTCGTGGGAGAAAAGAATTGGCAAAATGATCAGGGAAAGAAAAGGGCTTCAAAATAACAATTCACTTAGGGTATATTACACTAACAGTAGAAGTCTAAGAAATAAAATTAATGAATTAAGTGCTCTTGTCTGCACAGAAAAAATATATATTATTGCACTTACCGAAACGTGGATGAATGTAGAAAATAGAGAACTATTAGCTGAATATCAAATAAATGGATTTAAACTATTTCACACAGACAGATATATTAAACGAGGAGGGGGAGTAGCCATATATGTTAGGGACAATTTGATATGTAGTCTCAAAGAGGGAATCAAAACTGAGCCACACACAGAAACTATTTGGATAGAATTAAACGAAAAGTAAATAATATTATAATAGGAGTTATATATAAGCCACCAAATTTAGACAGAATGGAAGCAAAGCATCTATGGGATGAAATATCTAGAGCATCTAGATCTAACAGTATTTATGTCATGGGTGACTTTAATTTTAGTGGAATAAACTGGGTGAACAAAACAGGGAATAGTGAAGCAGAAGATTTTCTAGAATTAATTGACGATTGCTTTCTTACGCAACACATTCAGGAACCAACGCGGGAAAATAATATTTTAGATTTAGTGTTAACTAACAAGGAAACACAAATTAATGACATTGAAATAGGGAGTGAGCTAGGGAACAGTGATCACAATGTAATCAGATTTAGCATAGAATGGAATAGACCTGAAAGAGAAAATTCTGTTAAAGTGCCAGATTTTCGAAAAGCTGATTTTAATAGCCTAAGAAATTTTTTGGGTCAAATAGATTGGAAAGTCTTGGGTATGGGGTGTGGGCCGGTCTTGGAGCGAGACATGAACCCAGCGATAGGTGACGTAAAAGGGGATTTCGATGTGGATTTAATATATAACTTATTTAATAATATTCGAAACAAAGCACAGGAACGTAGTATACCATACAAATTGAATAGATCAAATACTAATGACCCAAAGTGGAAAAGAAATAATTTAAAGAATCTTATAGGTAAAAAGAGAGCTTGGTACAAAAGGATTAAGAATGGGGAAGTCAGTTTAGAACAGGAATTCATACAACTGGTTAGAAATGTTAAAAAAAAGATTAGGAAAGCAAAAAGAAACTATGAAGTTCGCATAGCAGAGCAAGCAAAGTCAAATCCTAAAGGTTTTTTTCAGTTATATCGAACTAAGACTAGGGAAAGGATAGGTCCATTAAAATCTGAGACAGGTCAAATAACGGATAATGACAAGGAGATGAGTAGTATTTTTAACAAATATTTTATATCTGTATTTACTAAAGAAGAACTTAACAATATGCCTTCAGCCGAACAAGTCTATGTGGGTGGGGATGAGGACAGGTTGACTAGTT